CCTCCTCCTCCTCCTCCTCCCCCCCTTCTTCTCCTCCTGTGTCCGGTACCAAGACAGTCAAGAAGGCCAGAGACGGAGGAGGGTGTAGGTGGATGGCACGGTCGAGCCCGCAACTTGGCGTTCCGATTCCCACCCCCCGGTTCACACAGCAAATGGCCAGAATTTTGACTAACAACAACAATGGGGGGACACAGGAGTCCCCATGTGCGCGACGTCTGCCGGCAACCGGGGTTGCCATCGCATCCCGAAATGTTGGAATTTGTTATAATGCACAATCCGATAACACCAGCCAGCAACAGTGCACTCATGCTTTACCAACTGACTACTTCAGAAGTCATGGCTGCAGTTAATAATTCAGGAAACACATGGAGAATGCTGAGCGAGAATGTTGGGAGCGCAATGCTCTCGACCAAAATTTCTCTCCAAAAGCAGCTCACACACATACGATAGTTCGACCGTCGCATCCGAAGGTGTCCACCGTTTGCCCCACAACAGATGGTGCAGGGACGGTGACTTACGCAGGGATTTATAGTGCCAGTAGACTTGCGCTACGTCTACCACACTCTCGTCTCCTCCCCCGCGTGAGCCCGGTGTCAAGACAGTGTCAAGAAGACCGGAGACGAGGGAGGCCGCGGGTCGATGGCTTGGACGGGTCCTCACCTTGGCGCTCTACTCCGCACCCCCTAGTCTACACAACAATGACCAGGATTTTGACCACAAAATATTTGGGGGAATGGCAGTGGGCCAGTTGTGCGAAAACTGCCGAAAACAGGGTCTGTCAGCGCACGCCTTGCCTGTTGCATTTATTATTACGCACAGATAACGCCTGCCAGAATCCGATACGGCCTTCGTGTTGGTCCTGCGCATCTACTATGTGGCCCGTTTGGGGGGCACACACATGCATCTCCTTATGTGGCATGGGAAAATCAATATTGCGCTAACTAGAATGTGGGTTTACAACTACGCACCTGCAAATACTCCTGCCAATCACTGCGTGTATGTCCATCTCAGATAGCCATGACTTTTCCTTGCTGACTTCTTCTGCTACCGGTGTTTCTTATGTCTATCTAGTCGATATTATCCTACGACGACAAATCAAATCAGGCATGCAATTTTCTGATCGAATTCTGTATGACACTGCCCATCCCCTGCATTCTGCAGTAGTCGCCGCGAAGTCTTCTCGCCCCATGTGCCGTGGCTTTCGACTTATTTCTTGTCGTACGTCGGCATACCATTCCTGGAGCGCTCTCTTACATGTGAAGAGGCGGAAATACAGAAGCTAAAACTCGAACTGTCCCCACAACAACCACTCATTTTGTGTAAAATATTTTGACTCTTAAGTAAATTATTATTAACAATGATTGAAACCCATCTTTTGCTGAAACTTTAGAATTTTTAATTCCAAAATAAAGCGAATTCTTCTATTTCCCTAGCTTTCTCTTGCTACTGGAAGACAGTGAGCATGAGAGAGATGCTGATGATAAATGCAGAAAAAGATTTTTTCGCATTTCAAATGATACGGCGATAAACCAGTATATTCTCTGCAGTCAAGCCAATGTGTTGATGTGCTGGGGTAGGTTTGAGCCAAATCGGAATAATTTCCCCATCAGTCATTTTTGCCGATATTCACCTACAGAAGCCCGGAAGTTGAAGGCATGTTATTGCCAAAATCCGTACGCGAGAACTCTGACGTTACGCAGGGACGGACGCCGAGAACAAGGTAGAAACAGAACAGGTAAGTACCCCCTCCCTGGGCAATCCATGCAGTTAACCCTAGTCTACCAGTTAATGGCTGGTGCAGAAGGCTCACGCCGGCACTGGGCCCAATCGTCCAAATCGTGCTCATTGCCAACGCCCACGCAGGGTTCGGGCTGGATTGGTTGTTTGCCGGTGCAAATAGTAGCCCAGCCGCTCTCTGCGGTAGCCACGACCCACCTAGCATTGTGCGACTGCTGGCCATGGTCAGTCAACACGGCCAAAATGTTTCGCATGTCAGATGATTTGTTAAAAGCTGATAGTTGGAATGACAGGGCATTCGCGCTCCTGACTTTGGCTCGCCCTCTCTCTTTCTCTACTCGACACGGTTGAATCCCAGTTGTTGTGATAAGCTACAGAAGGCTCATTCGAGTTTTGAGAACACTCGGAAAGAGTTGGGTGTGTTGAATTGATTTTTGACCGTGACTACAGTCAAGAGCTATTTTCTCGTTCGAGGTTCTGTGTGATGTGTCAACGCTTCTCAGCCAACAAAAAGGGAAGAGTATCAAATTACTAGTGTGATTCTGTGGGGATTTTACCAAAGAACTTGTGTCAGAACCCCAAGGCTGAAAGGGACTCGCTGAAGTTTCACCAGACCGATAGAACACTTACTTGTATCAAATGTGAGATGAGCTATGTGTAAACAAAATGAGAGCTTATTCGGGGTTTTAGAAGACCGATTCAGACTCCTCGCAGACCAGGGGACTTTAACTTGGCCAATTAGATATATCTCCGCTCATCACTAATAAATACAGTGCTTTGGCTTGTCGCTTGTGATGTTCGAACTGTCGTCAGGTCAATAGGGGGACGCTACCCACAAGTAGCCGAAAAGACACAGGCCTGAATATATTTGGCGGAATTTAGCAGAAAGCGGAACTCATCGTCTGGTTGACTTAAAAGGTTGTCGCAACTCTAGGAAGTACACCACCTAGCACTGACTATGTAAGAATAATATGGGGTAATTTGTCGATATGATGTCCTTTTCACAATATTTTTTGGCGGAGCTTTTACCACTCGTAGGAAATGTTGTGCATTTAGCGTCCTTCTCTTGACAAAATTGTAGCCTGTGGGTTTGTTGAACGCATGAATCCCAGAGTTTATCGTTTGAGAGTTGTCTAAAAATAACCTTGGATTCGACGTCTGTAAAGCAATCCCTTGACAATATTTCCTCGTCGAAAGTACTCTTGCAGGCACAGGCAAACGTACTCCGCTGGTCGTACAATTTGTTCGTTTACTAGTAGTATGAAAAGATGGACACTGTTACTAAGTGTTGCAGACAAGAGAAGAGGAGTTTGGAAAAGTTATTCCTGGCTTATTTACCGTTGTCGTATAGCTATACCCAGAAGTTCTGACAGAGAGGACCCTGTACTTATATCCTGGCATTTGAAAGAAAAAACGAGGAACCGTGGGTGTCATGGAGAGGAACCCACGTTTCAAAGTCGGATGAACGTTGCGTAAGCCTAAACTGACCGGTATACCTTGTCTCACATATACTGCAGACAATTTCCATACACGAAGGCGTAGCATAAGCGACGCCAGCTGGGTCTGGTAGTGCTGACACGACTATGATGGTGAGAAGTACCTGTAAAAAGTACACTGACAGTTCCCGCCGAATGTATTGATGGTCCAGGTGGCCACTTCTGTTTCGTCCCGTCTCGACAACAAACCTTTATCTATGGTTCCACGAAACCGTGCCGAGCACAGAGGGGCACACCGACGGCCTAATGCACATGTGCCTCGGTTTTCATACCCAGTAGTCCCCAAGCGTCCATCACCGCCCCGAACAAAACAGTCCTGTGTGGAGGACAGCATGCAATTTCGTAGGCGGCCCAGTCTAACCTAGGATTGTCTTCGCACTAAAAACAAAAGTCCTAACCCGCAGTGGAACTCGTCGGCCGCCTGTGGTGACCAAACAATCATATTTGGCGAAAGCACTGCTTACTCCATGGCGGGGAGTGGGGAAATGGACAAGATACCCTAAAAAATGCTAGCCGAACACGCCGTCGTTTGAAAAATCACAATAAACAACCCCTCCTGTTCCCATTCCTGTGCTGGAATTTTCGCCTCTCTTTAGACAATCCGATGACAGACCGTCTATAAAGGTCCTTGTTGCGCGGAATAACGCGCTACAAGGTGGATATTGCAGCTCTCAGTGAGACCCGTTTCTCTGAACTTGACTACCGAGGGCGAGGGGGTTAGGGGACGAATCTATGTTGTTCTGGAGCAAACTTCCAAGAGCAGAGCAATCAGAAGCCGGAGTGGCCTTTGCCATCAGGAATTCGACAGCCCGCCTTTCTTACAACACCCGTCAGTGATAGTCTACTAACAAAGATCTACACGGTCAGAGTCCCCCGCTTGCAAAACTTGCAAAGTGTGGGGGGAAATGAAACAAGGACTTTGCATACTTACTATTTCCACGGTTACATTACGGCTTACAAGCAATTCTGGTACCTAAGCAGGAACGCGCCCAGAGTTACCGTTCTGCAGAAAACTATCGTCATGCACTTCGTACCAGAGTTCTCGAATGACGGTCTTTTAGCATGAAAAGGTATCCAACAGTCATTGCCCAGAAGTTGAAAAAGGCCCGTCTGTATGTGAGTCAATGTGATTTGTGCCTCTATTTACCGGTACACCCCGCCTATCGAAGCGATTCATTTACGCATGTTCTTCGTTGATGTGCGCGTAGTGACTGCTAGCGAAATCGCATCTAACAGGGGTTTCATGCCGTTGCCTAGAAAACGTGTAAGGTCCCGAAAAAAAACAACATCAGTTAAAATTATGAGAACAATAAATGACTGTTTAAGCGCCAGTCGTCAACAAAATCGCTCTTAAGATGACTGATAAGACCACTTCCTGCGCGGTCGTAAAACACGGTGCAGACGTTCTACAACTATGGAAGATAACAGGCTTGAAACGGATTTGCTTACGGTAAGAAGTCCCCCCAGATTAGGGCGATTTACACTGGTACTCCCTCGCTCAAGTCAAGAAGAGCATAATTTGGAGGTGTTGAAAATTCTCCGTATTCATTCATCATAGTCGAATTTAATATGCTCATGAAATGCCGTTAGGGCCTGCGGCGAGACTTGTAAGACTGGCTTAAGCTCGACTAAGTTTCCTCTTGGAAGATTACTGACACGATGAACCAATCTAATCACTGCAAAGAGGCTTGACCGGAGTACTGTAGAATGAGGTAAGTTAGACAAAAGCCCAAAGGCAGTGCATGGCCATTGTTTATTTACACAACAAAATAAGATAGAAACCACAATTTTTAAATAGTTGACAGCCAGTGTACTCTGTCAGTTATTAATCAACCTCTTACTTGGTGTCGAATCAATTATCTTCGCAGATAAATAATTTTCTTCGAGAAGTTGCCAGAACCACTTGTCGTGATCAAGTTTGTTCTAAGGTCAATTTAAAGGGGTAGATGGAGAGCAGAGGTGTCATATGGTAGGCTGACTCAGCCGCCTCCTCCGCCACCTACGCAGAGAGGGCTCCATCTGGTGCTCAGAGCGTGAGTCTGAACCGAAACTAATTTACCTATACTACGCTCGCGATGATAAATGTACACGCTGTCGCGTGGCCCTGTTTGCATCGTAGAAGTACACTCCTATGGGGCCTTTACAATTTAAAGGTAACCGGGCTATTTGTGTTTTTAAGGATTAAATGGGACTCTCGGCAAATTTACCCTAAATCACAGGCTCCAAATATTCAGCTATTTTCGTTGCTAAAATTTCGTGACTTCGGTAAGAGTTCGAGCCTACTAGTTTTCGACTTGCGTATGCGGACTGGCCTCATTTTCCTGCCGACCAGTGGAGCGGAAGAAAAGACGATAAGTATTTTACCGAAAATCGAACTGCTCAGGCAATGCTGAACTCGAAGGCGCCATTCTGAATGTGGGCTGAATCACAGGCCGACTAGACAAACTCTATCAGTTGTGAGTCGAAGGGCCGCCCTCAGGCTTCGAGAGATTAGATGAAGCATAGTTGGTGAGGACTGATGTGCTGGAGATGACCATTCAGCCTCTCTTATCTTTGTCAGTAGTCTCAACCTACATATGGTGGGTATGCCAACTTATGAAATGTCAATATAAATTCTGAAATGCGTTTTTGTTTCGAAAAGATTACTGAAATAAGGTTGCAAAATTAATCATCCGGCAGCATAATTCCACAATAATTCCGTTACCTCAGGATGCCGGCTTTCGAATGAAATAATTTCCGGTCGCATACAAAAATCATACTCCGTAAAAAACGACTACTTTGTTAACATGCATTTTTTCGCTCTCATTTTCGATGCCCTTAAAAATGCAACTTTATTTCATACGAAACATGCACAAAGATATTTTTTTACTGATTGGGTAGAAAATTACGTATTCTTTCAATTTTATACTTGAAGGAAGGGTATAATTCGGTTTTAAAAAAAGTTTCTAACTGTGAAATTTTTTAATAGCGTGATATTTCCGTCCATAAAACATCGTGTATTTACGTCTGCTTATGTGGCTTGTAAGGTTTCAAAATGGCTCATATCCGCTGCTAAATTTTATGAACCACATATGGTCTCCTCTTAATACCATAGAGAAATGTATGGTTTTCCGTACGCGGAAGATAACTGGCTTGTAGTTTGGGAACCTTGGATGCAAGTGTTACGGCAGATCGTGTTTAAAATTATTCGGGAATTGGAAAGGTTTTTGGAAGGCGAATTTTACCTTTCCTTCCACTATAAACTTGAAAGAAGACGTAATTTTCTGCCAAATATGTAAAATAATGGATATTTTCGTGCATGTTTTCTACAAAATATCATTGCATTTTTAAGGGCATCTAAAATCAATGAGAAAAATGCATACTAATTAAGTGGCAGTTTTTACAAAATGTGTTTTTGCATGCGACTGGAAGGAAGTTCTTTCGGAAGCCGACATTCTGAGGTAACTGAATTATTATAGAATTATGCTGCTCGATGATAAATTTTACAATCTCACTAAATTAATCTTTTCGAAATGAAAACGGATTTCAGAATTTCGGTTAACATTTCATGATTTAGCACACCTACTGTATAAACATAGCTGCTGTACGGTTGACTGCGGAGCTCTAAATCGAGCCCTAGGCCACAACGCAACGAGTACGCTCTGCAACGCAATCGCTCAGCGTCCTCCTACCGTATTTAGTTGCCCGATCGCAACCGGGAAGGCCAATAGTCTGTGGCTCAATGGTTCGACTGCTCGACTTCTAACCAACAGAAGGCGGGTTCGAGCCTCAGGACTTGCAAACGCTGGCTTGAATATACCTGGCCGACTGATGATGACCAGTAAGTCAGAAACGGCCACCCTACTCTCCCTCGCTTTTGTCGGTAGTCTCCCACCACCACCACCACCACCACCACCACCACCACCACCACCACCACCACCACCACCATCGCCGCCGTTGCAGGGGAAGTCCACCTGGTGCACATTCTATTCATCTAATCAGAAATTAATTTTCCCACGCTACGCCCCCCGATGACAAACGCACACACTGCCAATTTCACTACCGCACAGCAGTCTTGACAATGAAGACATGAGATGAAGAGAAATTTTACACTTCGGGTATAATCAGACCGTTCGAACCTGCGAGACGTAGACGGGACTCCCGTAAAATATACTTGCAATTCCAGACCCCAATGAATGAAATCGTTAAAAATTTTGGTAGGGATTTCAGTCGACTGGCATAAGACGTGGATTTCCAGAGTGCCTTCATTTTAATTCCTACCGATTGGACAGCAGAGGAAATACCAGATATACACCGCGAGCTGTCCCCACCATGGTGTACACGAAAGCGCGAAGTAAGCCGCCAGTTGATCAGGGAAATTGGCTTGTCATTTGCGGAGGCGCCGCAAGACTAAAACGAAGGATGCATACATTTGCTGATTCTGATACAAACGTAAAACCAAAATAACCTTCTTGGGATGTAGATAGAGAGGGAGAGTAGAAGGTAAAGTTAGTCACTTTGCGTGTTTGGAAGTTGATCCGAAAAGGCCGTGAAAAGTAGATTTGTGCCGGATTTACGGTGTTTACCAATCTCATGAAACGCTTCGTCGATCAGATATTATTACTGGAGTGGGTTTGTAGGGCTGATTATCGTGCAGCATAATCTCAAACATAATCACATCAAGTTATAGGGTATTGAACTAACTTTTTTGGCCACCTGAAAAAACATCCTCCTGTAAAAATAGCCACTTAGGCGGTATGGATTTTTCCGACATATTCCTGATGGCTTTATACATTCAAGCGAATTCTGTAGAGAACGCACTCAAAGTATTTTTTTCATACTCATTTGGTGGCAAGCCTTTATAAGATTGTATACCATGAAAACGGGTATAATCAGGTTTTAAAAAGCCTTCATAAAGCCGAATAATCTTGAGTCCGATCTGCCGTTGCATTTGTCTTTAAGGTTTACAGTCTAGAGGTTGTATGCTGTCCATATGAGGAAAATAATACGCTTCTCTATCCAGATAAGAATATATTATATAGGACCCATACAGTTTTTCAGTGAATATATGCTATTTTTTGTGCTGTTTAAAAAAATTTACGGAAATAGACATTTCAAACGCTTAGAAAGCGTTCTAACTAGGGGCAATTCTAAATCCAGAATAGGCTCTTTCCACAAGGTTAAAATTCAAGGAAGATGTGGTTTGCTATTAGAGGAGTGCCAAAAAGAATACTGCTGATTATGTATTCTATAAAATATATTTGAATTTATAAGGGCATCGAAAGTCGGTGGAAACAATCGGTATCATGTAGCCTATCAAATTTACGAAGTGTTTTTACTGCAGACAGTCGAAAAGAGCTGCATTCATAATCGGACAACACGGCGTGACTGAAATATCTTGAGATTATTCCACAAGAAGTCAATAATATAATCCCATTTAAGCAAACTGTTCTAATCAAAGATGCATTTCAAAATTTTGGTTAATAATTCATGAGTTTGTTCACTGACTGCAGACCCTCAATCGGTGTATGTGTGTGTGTGTGTGCAAGCTTCAATCTATGGCCTGGCTCATGAAATTTGATCATGGAAACTGAGATGGTCAGTATTGGGGCACTTGGACCGTTACACATTTACTTACTTGGCGATCCCTTCCGCTTCAATAAAAGGCCTTTTTTTCGTGCAGAATATGTGAATTATTAATTTCATGAGGCAGATTTTTCTAAGCCACATGCACATGCGAAGTACTAACTTGCTTTGAGGATTTTCTAATAACAGCAATCGACTTTTCTGTCTAACGGGTTAGGTCACCAGCAGCGATGCCAAACAATAAGCTGACGAAACCCTTCCCCTCCGCCGGGTCTATCAGGCCACATGCGCATTCACGAAAACTTGTGGCAGACAACCGCCGGCTAAACCACATCATGACATTTTCCTCCGCCTGCATCACGCAGCAGCATCATCATCATCCACCACAAGCATCCAATGGCCACCTCACATGCAAGTGGGAAGTGTGCGTCTCGGCTCCGTCTCCATGCTGCTTCTTTGCTGCATACTGGATTCGAGTCTGAGGTCATCACGGTGCGTCAAGCGATGTGTCTTGGAAGGCAGCTGACAGGCGCCCCAACTCAGTCCACACAGTTTGCGCAGTTGTGTGTATGTTTGAGTGGAGTGGCGGACTGGTGGGCCGAGAACCAGGCCGAAGCGGCTCCTTAATAATGTGGCCTTTATCGTACTCCTACTGTGTGGGATCCGAGTCACACAATGGTCCCCCGGCGTGGTGACGCCGTTTGTACTTCGCGACGGTGTGAGCTGCGCCGCCCGGCTGCGTGGGCGGAGCGCGTGATAACACGCAGGCAAATCGATGTGTCTGTTGGTAGAGTTGGTGTCCGACACCCACGCCTCCAACAGCTCTCGGCCTGTCTTGTTGCCGGCTCGCGCCAATATCCGCGTGTTGGCGAAGTCGAACTCATGCCCTTCCTCCAGCGTGTGACTGGCTACTTGAGATAGTGGGTCGCCTCTCCGAACGGCCCGTTTGTGCTCAAGTATTCGTGAGCTCAGACGTCGTCCTGTCTGGCCTGTGTAGTGGCAAGGACAGTTTTAGCACGGGATTCGATAGACTACGCCCGACTGTTCACCTGCGTCCAGCCGATCCTTCAGTTTCATGATCCTGCTACGCATGGTGGCCGCCGGATGATGAGCGATGCCCACGTCCACCTCTGACGCAGTGCATTCTGTAGCCTCGGACACATTCTTTATGTACGGTAGGGAGTGCAAATTGTTGGTGTTTCCCTTCCGATTGTCCGGCGTGGGTGCGTGCGTATGCAGCGACTGTTAAAACTATTTGGGTAGCCATTCTTTGTTAATTGGTCTCGGAGATGCCGTAGTTCTTGCATCCTTCCTTCGGGCTCGCTACAGTGCGTTTTTACCCGATCGAGAAGCGCCCTCACACAGCCCTGTTTGTACACCAATGTGTGGTTGCTATGATAGTTGAGGACCTGGGTTGAATTGGTCGCCTTTTTGTGCACTGTGCTGAGTTCACCGTCAGGTGTCCGCGTGATGAGCACGTCCAGGAAGGGTAGTTTCGCGTCCTCCTCGTCTTCTCTTGTAAACTGAATATCGGGGAATATGCTGTTAAGTAAGTCTTGAAAACCCGATAACTTGTCCTTTTCAATAATGACGAATGTATCGTCCGCGTATCGGCGCCAAAACGCAGGTTTGTAATGGCTGAAAGCAACCTCTTCCAGCTCTTGTAGGACCAATTCCGCAATTAGGCTGGCTATTAGGGAACCCATGGGTGTTCCTTTGATTTGTTCGTATGTTCTGCCATCGAAGATGAAAAAGGTTCGTTGGCAGAATGCAAAGAGCTGCATTAGGTGCTGGATCTTTAGCGGCCTTGTCGTTTCGTCGTACTTTTCTTCGAGGCGTTTGCGTAGCAAGTCGCGCGCCAAGTCTGGTGGGATGGACGTGAAAAGTGACACAACGTCGAAGGATACCATGATTTGGTCGGGATGAATAGTTTTTCCCCGAATGTCGGCAAGGAATTGGAAGGCTGAATTGACGGACGTCACAGAGCCCTCTCGGAGAAAATTGAGCTTTCGGGCCATCCATTTGGCTAAATTGTATGTGGGGCTGCCTTTCAGGGCAACGATTGGCCGCGGAGGAACGTTGGGTTTGTGGATTTTTGGTAGTCCATGCGTAGCAGGATCATGAAAATGAAGGATCGGCTGGACGCAGGTGAACAGTCGGGCGTAGTCTATCGAATCCCGTGCTAAAACTGTCCTTGCCACTACACAGGCCAGACAGGACGAAGTCTCTGAGGCTGAACTCTAGTTAGAGTTCGAAAGCTCAGGCAAATCAACCTACTGTCCCAGTGATCGTGCTTTCACCTTCTTTTAAGTACTGGTCTAGTTGGTAAATCATTCTGCCACCCTCATACACTGTCCTATACACATGCTTCTAGTCTTGCAAGACAGGCCACCCGACATGTCTTGATGTGCTCTTTGTTGGTTGGTCATACCTAAAGACGGACTCCCGAAATCTCACGTAGGTGGATTTAGGATTCTGGCATCCACATGGCCATCCTCTTCACCGATATCCAACAACTACTCTCAGTAAGCGCCAACATTCGTGAGGGAGGTTCCAGTTAAAATCAGTCCAGCAGGCGCACTGCGGATATAATTCGGTTTATGCACTTAACAAAACAACCGAACCTTGAAAACATCAATCACTTAATATCTGGAGGTCAGGGAGACTACATTAAGGACTTACGTACGTCTTGATTGACAGCTGATTTATTATCTTCTAGGACGCATGCACATGTAAACTGGCAATTTGTCCTGGGGATTTGCTAGGACTGATTGCTGTAATCGAGTTTGCTGTGAGATCAGTCTAACAGGCTAGGTCACCAGTGTCGGTGCCAAAAGTAGGCTGACGAAGTCCTCCTCCCCTCCTCTATCGCCGCATCAACGCAGGAGTACTTCACCTGGTACTCAGGGTGTAAATCGGCATTAAAACTATGCCACCAACACTGATCCTGCGATGGTGAATGCTAACGCTGTCGCATTACCCCGTTGCCATTAAAGGAGTGAACTCTTGAGGGATGTTAGGGTTTAAAAATTATCTGAATGTTTGTATTTGCAAGAAATAGATGGTAGTCTTACGAAATTTGCCGTCTATCATGGGTTTCATTGCGGTTCAGCCCGTTTCTTCCGTTAAAATTTCGTGATTTGGGTAGGGTTGACAACTTATTGGTATACGAAGTGAGTATGCGGACTGGCTCTACTTTCCTGTTGACTGCTGAGACGGAAGAAAAGCAGATAGTAGTTTAATAAAAAACAAAACCCCCTACACAATGCTGAACACGAAGGCGTGAGGCAAATCGCAGACTGACCATAAACATTCTGCCTGTCAAGATGCGAGATTAGAAGAAACGCTTCGCAGATTCGCGGATTCCCTTATGAGAGCACAATCGACGTAGCCTTCCTGGGCATAAAGTAAAGTAAGAGGTCGTCAGGCAGGTCGTTTCTGGTCTATGAGTTGTCGTCAGAGAGCTGACAGTCCATCAGGTTATGAAGTGCGTGCGCGAACAGGCTCCAGTTTCTTGCCGACCAGTGAGACAGAAGAGAAAACGATAGGCATTTTACTGAAAATCGAACTGCTCAGGCAATGTTGTACACGAAGGCGTCAACCTGAATGTGAGCTGAATCACAGGCTGGCTAGATAAACTCTCTCTGTCAGTTGCGAGTCAAAGGGCTATTCTCAGACTTTCGTGAGATTAAGAGAAACATTGCGCAAATTTGCAGATTCTCTTATGAGAATTCAATCGAAGTAACCTTCGTGGGCATAAAGTAAAGTAAGGGGTTGACAGATAAGTCGTTTCGCGCCAACAGACTTGTCCCAAACGGTCACTGAGTAGCGGAATTAGGTCAGAGTTGGGACTCCAGTCAACACTTCATGAAATTTCTCCGGTCATGGAGATGCCAATCTTGCCCGGCGGTAGCTGTGACCACCGGCTGAAACAAGCTGAGAACGGATGTGCACCAACACGACCAACAAATATTGACGGTCCGCTAGCGCTGAGATAATCGATTGTTGTCGCCTGTGTAATGATTTGCGTCCAGGTAGGCCTTGATGGCGAGCATGCTTAATCCATGGCTTGCCTTTTGGGACCGCAGAGAAATATGAGCACTGTTGTACAAACGCACACGTCTGTGGTTTCCTTCCGAGACGCGCAAATAGGGAAGATAACGCGACATACCCGTAAGCGGTCCTTCAGTTGGGAAGGCTGAAGGCGGAGATCAAAAAGCAACTGAAATCGTGCGATAACGGGCGACAGACCGTGAACACGTGACCTCAGAAGCAGGAGAGCCCTGGCCAAAGTCTCAGATCTTTTCGAGCTGCGATTGACTTGCTGACGACAATATGAAGTGGACACCCCCGTCTTCCTACTATTTTTGGTAGTTAGACACCACCTAAGCAGTATTATCTTAACCGTATGCTTGAGCATTAGAGCAAATATGTCGAGCATATTGTCATGCATTTGTAGTTTACTGACACCGGTTAGATGTGGTTATGTAACCGCAACTGAGGTAAACAAACGCCAGCCACCTCTTATACGGGCCGGTGGTAATAGGGGTTTTTACAGGTGGGGCCAGGGGACGTACAAGCGACGAGGTCAAGAACTTGTATGAAAAAGGAAAGCTATTGAGAATGCACGGTTGTACTTTGAGTGGCTGAGAAATCGTTGCCTAACCCGTAGCACTGACCCCCAACTCTAACCTCCTAACCCCTAACAATTACCCCTAACCTTCAACTACAATCCCTAACTCTAATACCCAAACCGAACCCCTAACCCTAAGTTCTAGTCCTTAACCCTAACCCTGACCTCAGCCTTTGAACCCCCATTCTAACCTTAACCCTGAATCGCAGTCCTTAACCACGAAACATTCAACACGAAAGTTAGATGGAGAAGACAGCCCGAAAGTTAAGAAGGGCAACTGGCACTGGGGCGAAGGAGGTAGACACGGCAACAAAGAAACAAGGCCGCCAACAGAACACACACTGCAACGCACAGCAACACCATGCCAACGTAATCATACCAACTCGAAATAATTAAATAGGCCGACAGTATTGTGTCCATCAGGTGCGGCTACACAACCACATCTTACCCTGATAACCCCCAGGACACTGTCCGAACTGAGTGAGGTGTCTCCGACACGAACTACATTCAGTACTCTGGCCACATTTGTAGACGAGAGCCCCAGCAATAATCCCGTTGAATAAAATACTGTTAGCCTGTCATTCTATTACAGCAACGTATGATCTTGTATCAATTTCAAGGCCTGACAGGTTGGGCTGGCAAGGACTACAAGGATTTGATTGGCTACCGGCTTATGCAGAGGACAAACATAATGGCGGTAACCAGATCTCAACGAGTCACTGAAAGTGCTTTAAATTAAATCAGGTCTGTATAATTCAGCAGCCTCTTGTAACTCCAATTCCCGTTAACAGGTATGAAGATCTGTACTTGGGCTGCTATCGGCTAAACTGTGCAGATGTGTCAGGCACTTGATCTCCCCAACTACGATCCTCTCGCCTTCCTAAGGTGTGATGATAATGAGGGCAGTGTTCTCGGCTGTCTTTTAGAGCGCTTGACTCTGCCTGGTGCGTTGTCAGTTAAGATCTACCCTGGAATTAACTAGGGCTGCCGAACTAATGCAAATTTACGGAATCCGGGTTCTGTAGTCGCTTTTTTGCCTAGGCGATAGCTTCTAGCGCACAACATGAACGCAGGAGAGGGAGGTAGTCGCGGGTAGATGCTTACATTCTTATTTAAATGAAGATTTAGCAAAATGCTTTTTGTGAAACTCGTGAGCTTACGTCCGCAGGATAGTTCTTCCGCTCCAAATGACGAAGCCAACTGCATGGGCACGGATTGGGTGATAGTGGAATGGACTTATGCAGCGTTTGCCTCACACTGCCTTTCGAGGGTTGGACGAATTTAAGACGACAGTAGATGAGCATGATAGTAGTGGGCTGCGAAGACCGACGATCCGTCTACGCATGCCGTACACCATCTGGTCCAAGTAGTCGGTTCGAGGTACCTCGTGCCTTGAGTGTTTTACTCGCCGGCCTAAATAATTCCGCAAAAAAGCCTTTTCTCGCATGTAGGATTTGTTTCTACGCCATTGTGTGAAAGAAAATGAGTGTATTCTGGAGTGATAATATAGTCTCCTCCACGTCCGTGCAAGTTTTCTGTGTTAATTACTGCCGTAGACAAGATCTGTGTGTTTGTTCTTGTTTCCCTAACAGGGAACGCCATTCTAAATGAGCGAAGTCCCCCAAAGTACATTTCTCCAACTAGAAACCTGCCTTTTTCAGCTCGCGTCGATCAGATGAGACAACAGGTGAATAGATAGGCTGTTTTAGACATATGAAGGCCTAAATAATCAAGAAAAACCATTTTACCCTGTTTGGATCTGTCTCGAAGATATTTGGTCGAAAGATTAGTTAAAATGGGTTTCCTTAAACAATGCTACACCGATGGTGTTACATCTACCCATTCGGTTAAGCAGACATACGTTATTTACTGTTAAAAATTCGGTTGACTCATTTGACATACATTTTTTGCGTTTCCGAAATTCACGATCTTCTTTATAATCATAACATTCAATCAACCTCTTATTGCATTCAATGTTTGTTTGCTTTTGCATGTTGATGAAAGCTTGCACTTTTAATTGGGTATTTCGGTCGATGCAGTTAACCCTGTTTCGGATTGGTTAGGAATTTTTCGAGAATTTGCGCATATATCATGCGTCAGGCTGCATGCTATGTGTGTGTGACAACGGCGCACGGCGTGCACCGAAACTCCAGAAATTTTCTTGAATTCGAGGAAAATCTGAAAAGTCACAGTGATGGACTTGGAGGTCGAGTCAAAATTCACAGAATAAACGCACCCAACAAGGCACCTACTTATGCTATGGCTTAAGTAGTTGGAACCATCTCTAATGGGAATGCGTAATAGGGTATGGCGAAAGAAGATATGTTGAGTAGCTGTCCCTAGTGCACATTTCAATATTCCCTCGGCGCAGACTCTATCTGGGCT